TAAAAATAATATCAAAATATCAAGAAAAGTCAGTTGACTAACTAATAATGTTTAGAGATGGGTTTCAATGCATTAAAAACAAAACATATATTACAATAACTAAAATATTCATTTATGAATAGTTTTAGTGCTTGAAAACAGAATGATACTGATGATAATAACTACACTTGTATGAAGTTTTAAACCGAATTGACAAATGATCAAATTATTGGAAAAAGTGACCACCCATTTTAAATTACCACAGCCGCCACTGCGTATATGTTTACGAATGGTTGTCCTACAATGATAGGAATAGTTTTAACAGCACTTGGAGTGATAAGAGCTTTTACACTAGCCTTAACACGATCCAGAACTACTATACTCCTTCTAAGGCCTTAATATGACTTCAGAGAAACTATTTAACTCTCTTTTTGGTTATTATTTTATCTCGCGATATAAAGAAATGCAATCGCTAATAATCCATAATTATTATAGTAGTGTTTCGTTAACGAATTTTTCATGATGAGTTTAAAAAAATGGTTCTGTTATTTTTTAACACTTGAGTAAAAAAAATGTAGTAAAATGTAAATGTTTCTGATTGTTTCTAGAGCAGTGCAAAATATGTAGTAGTTATCGCAACAAGTGCTAGAAGATGCACTTTTACGCACGAAACTGCGTTACCCGCACAACGCGCAGCGGAGTGCGGGTAAGAAGGTGAGTGCGTAAAAGTGCTTCTAGCACGTGTTACGATCAACATTTTTTCTACAAGCGCATTTATTTCTAAAATAGAGAATTAACCTGTATAATGACATTAGGTACAACGTCCAGTTTAAGTATACATATAAAACCGATGTTATGTGCTGAATTGGTGTAGTAGTTAGGGTTTCGGACTCATAACGCAAAGATCTTAGGTTCAAACCCGGGCATGGGCGAAAATATATTGCTTTTTTTTAATTTATATTTTATTTATATCTTATATATTATATAATTATTAAATTAGTTATGTATATTATTGGTAAAATTGCAGAAAGTTGCATGTTTAATGTTAATAAGTGAGTCTAGGTTTTTGTTAATATTTTGACCATCCAGGTGTTGTGTGGAAGTGTTAACTATAACATTCGAGTTTGTCATAGATTCCAAATGTGCGTTAGAAGTTAATGGCGTTGATTGATTTTCATCTATGTTTAAAATCTTTGAGCACATTGCCTTTTTAAATTGAATCGAATCATCCACATAGCTTTCTTCTACTGTGGTGGATTTCCAACCACCTACTCGTGTTATCGCAGTTACATCTTCTCCTGCATTTGCTAGCATTGTTGCAGCAGATCTTCTAAAACTGTGCCCAGTATATAGGGATGGTTCAGCAAGTTTTAAATAAATTAAGGATGGCATCTTACCAATAGTATTTATTCCGATCGGTTGAGAGGTACATTTATTATGCTGATAACTTAAAAAAAATCGGCGAGTGGATACACGAGATGGTCGTAGATTTACATATGTTTTTAATATACTTACGTATTTCTCTCCATGTATAACAAATGATCGTGGTCGATAGTTTTTCGACTCTTTAATTTTTATAATTATAAGGTCGCCTTTGTCTTCAATATCATTTATAGTCATTTTTTTTAATTCATCGCGTCTGCGTGCTCCAAGTAAGCCAAACACTGCAACTAATTTTACGTGCAAAAATGTGTCATCAGGTGCTGAATTTAGGAATTCAGTTATTTCGTGATCTTCAAAAACTTTTGCCTTTTTCGGTTTAAATCCTACGTTTTGTCGTCGTATATAAGTTGTCAAATTACTATATTTTCCTATATCCACGTTGTTTTAAATTTAACATTGATTTCAACATCGAGTAACGGGCCCACATAGTGTTCGGTTTGCATTCCGTTTTCGTTTTTGCAAAATATGCCAATACGTATTGTTCATTAATTGTTGTAATATTTATTTTATTTTGGCTGCACCAACTACTAACGTTTTAATATTGCTTCTCATATAGTCCCTTAGATTGTGTAGGCAGTAGTTTAGCTGATGCGGCAGTTCGAATATTTCAGCTTCTTTACTGGACATACTGTTAAACAAATGTAATACTTTAAAAAAATTAACAATTAATTGCAAACAGTAATTACAGGAATAAATTCAATAAGAGTTTTCTTAAAGTTCTGTCAAAACTGTTTAGACGATTATCGGTATCATTGCCTGCTAGATTCATGTCTGTTATTAACGTTTGACATTCGCTTAAATGTAGCGCGTTAGAGCGTCGCGCTTATAACCCGAAGGTCCACGGTTCAAACCCGGGCCTCGGCGGTAAGTATACCTTGCTTTTTTTTCAATTTATATTTTTCTGCGTGCGAGAAGATACACTTCTCGCACTCGAAAGAGTGCGAGAAGATCATCTTCTCGCACGCTTGTAGAAAAAGATGCTTACGCACCTGTATTCAGCGGGAACCGCGGCAATCGATACTTGGGATGTGTTTATTCGACATTTAAAATAATTATATCACTTTTGTTGCAATACGAGTTATTCAACTGACATTTTATGCAGTAAAAAGGCATTCAATATTTAAAAAACTGGAATAAAATAAATAACTAAAACCTATTTATTTATTACTAAACCCAAAAAAAAAATCAAATCCGCTGAATTCACAAAACAAAATAACAACTTTCAATTATATCATAAATACCTCTGGCTCTAAATAGCTTTTACTGCATATCGAAACGTTTTTACTGTTTATCGAAACATTTGGAAGCTTTTAAAGTTTTCAATTGAAATAAAACAAAACAAAAAATTATTCCATCTTCTTTATTTTTCAAATAAAGTTTCAAGTGTAATTCAAAATTGAGAAGATTTCTGCACGCAAATGAAACATTGTGAAATTGAAAAGGGTCAATGGTGTATCCGAAGGGGTTCGGGAAATTGAAAAAATATTTTTTTTTTGCTTGTTAGGTACCTATGTCTAGATATGTCGTTTATAGTTTTTCTTTAAGAAATTAATATTAAAATTATTTAAAAACAAAAATAATTACTGTATTTGATTGAATACAGTTAACTGAAAAATATATCATTGTCATTCACTGTAATTTTTATACAACTTTGTAATAAATTTATTGAGTTCTACAAAATATCAGTATATATTCAGTTTAAAAAAGGTCGAATTTAAAAAATACAGTATGTTTTAAAAATTTTGCAACTTATACAAAAAATGATTTTTGAAAAAAATTATCTACAAAAGCTGGCTCTTCACTTAAAGCATATTTAAAAATTGCCACGTACGAGGAAAGTCAAAGTATATGTATTTGGTTAAAGAGTTAGGTACCGTTTAAAAAAAAAAAACAAAAATATATAGAACAATTATATTCTAAACATTTTTTTGATATTTGTTAAAATAATTCCACCTACTTTTAAACTAAATTCATATTTTGCGACTTGCCTTGAAAATTGTAATTTTTTATTGTTTTAAGTAAAGTGATATTTTAAGTGCCTGTAGTTATATTTTTGGTAAATAAATATTTAAATAACTGACTCATTCTAAAAAATCCAAATATTTCATTTAAGATTCATGAAATATTTTATTGTATCGATATTACAAAGTCGTAGATAAAATTAAGTACGATGTATCTTGAACAATCTGTCTATCACAGCCACTTTTCTTTAAATAGGACAAAATATAAACTTTACATATTGAATCCTTCCTTCTTTCTAATATTTTTTAATATTTTTAATAAAGTAAAATTTAAAAAAAAAATATATATATATATATATATATATATATATATATATATATATATAGAAAAAATAATAAATTAGTAACTAATATGATATTCATGATTATTTTGCACATTTTTTGATATTGAATAGTGTACTAATGAATTTACATATTTGTTTTAAGTTGGACATTTATCTTTAGGATTTCACTTCTGCTTCATCTAAAACTAAATTTTCTAACTACACATTTGTACATAAGTAAAAAATATTTAAAATTTAAATTTATGGCGGAATATACAGAGTGTCCCAAAAACATATCAACAAAATTTAAAGGGTGATAGGACAACGAAACAAACTTTTTATTTAATAAACATATGTCTGCAAATGAGCCGTTTGGGCAGTAGAGCAATACAATATTTTAAATCCTCCTAGATACCTAAATTATTTCTTAGTTGAACACAACTGTCATTTGGTCGACCTTTTTTGTTTTAACTACATTTTCTGTTCTTTATTACAATGAGCGTTCCAAAGCTGACAATAAAAAGACCGTAGTATCTATTAATTAAATCAAAATTTGTGTAAAATGTGGACAATAATTTCTGATTTTGAAAACCTACAGATATGCACCTTGCTTATGGTACAGCCAATTGTAATGGAAGTGAAGCTGCCCGCTTGTATACAAAAATATGCCTAGAACGCCTGCAACCTCATCATTTGCTTCAATTTATCATCGTTTTGGATAAGGCGAAAACCTAAAGCGTTCTGGTAGAGGTGATTGCCCAAGAAGAAATCGTACGGTTGAAGTTTAAGAAGCAGTTCTACATTGTGTGAATACAAATCAATCCACAAATGTTTGCGCAATTACACAACATACGAAATTCTCCAAATAGAAGGTACAGCGTGTCCTGCATGACAACTTTCTTTAATCCTACCATTTACAATTCGCACAAGCTCGTAAAGATTAGACTCTTACCTTGGAAGAAAATTATTGTTTACTGATTAGGCATGCTTCACGCGCCATAGTTATTTTAATAGTAGAAATGACGACATTTGACTTATTGTGGTCTTTAATAACACCAGCAACAATTTTCTGTAAACATGTGGGCTGGTATTGTTGAAGAGAATCTATATAATGGTTAACTGTATATGCTTGTTCATTTAAACACTTCATATTCTGCAACGTATTTAACCAATATTATTACATAATTTTCCCTAAGATATTAGAAATAATATGTGGTTCCAACATGACTAGAAACCTTTACATTTTGGTTTGAACATGCGCTAGTATTTGGACCATTACAGAAATCACCGGCAAATGGGAAAACTCCGTCCACTTAGCAATGATACATTAGCAGCAATTCTCCCTCTAAAATCAAACGATGCTGATAAAATTTTGGAGAAAGGCTCTCTGCAGGTGGGTCTAGTCAAATGTAGGGTGGAAACGAGATTAAATATCAGAAGATGCCAGAAATCTTGGTTGTACGAGCACTACTCTGACACATGTAATGGCCCAGACCGATCGAATAACTGTTTTAAATGTGGACAGAGCGATAACAGCTCGAAAGAATGTAAAAACCAGTAGGCATGCCCGCTATGTAGAGAGGCAGGCCATAAAATGGGCACCATGAAGTGCCCAAAATTCAAAATCGCCTTAAAGAATGCTAGCCTGGAAGATAAAAATAAGAACTTTGTGGCACCTACAATCGAAAAACTTCACGAAGACAGAAAACAACAATAGGAAGAAGAAGAGCCCAATACCTTTGAAGATTCCTTCAGCAGACAATTCGACGAATTAGACGAATGAGTGAAGATGTCCGGGGAACAAATAATACAAACTACATAATCCTTGGGGACGCGAAATCGAGGCTCTGAAGCCCAAATGAAATAGATGAAAGGGGCATATACATGAAGCAATGGATAGTCACACTAAATTTAATAGCTATAAATAATAGCCAAACACCCACATTCATCAGAGAAAAAGTGCATCTTACATAGATTTAACCCTATTATCAGAAAGGTTCTCTAGAGAAATACAAAGTTGGACAGTACCACTCGAGAAATCATTAATTCTGCATAGATTCATCATGTTTGAGGTGATTGAAACGGGAACAAGCCAAAATAAAAAAAAAAGACAGCTATACAGTATAAAAATACAGATTGACGCAAAAAACCTAAGAAACTCTCTGGACTTGCTAAGACACAATATAGGTGAAGTACCAGAAAAATTAACCAAAGCACTCAAATGTGCCCAGCAATCCAGTGAGACTAGACACACGCAGGGCCCACAACGCAACACACCATACTGGTGGAATGAAGACATCGCCGTCATCAGGAAAACCTGTACACATATAGAAGAAAGCTCACGAGGGCCAGAAGGAATAGGACTATTAACCCAGAGCAAATGCAACACCTAGAAAATGCATACAAAACAGGGAAAACTGAATACAGGAAGGAGCCGAAAAGGAACTGATACACGAGTATAAAATTGCCAGAAGACATATCAAAAATAACAGCCAACTGTATGAAATTCCAACTGAAGAAAAAATTAGGGTTATAGATGAGCTTTTCTCCGACTGGCAATAGGAGGGGGAAGATTGGAAGAGAACACAAGACAGTGTCACATTTACAACGGAAGACCTTAAAGAAGCCTCTGATAAGATAAAAACAAGCAAATAACCAGGTCCGGACGGCATTACCCAGAAGATAGTAAAGGCGGTAGCAGACAAATACCAAATGAGCTCTTCAGGGTATACAATCAAATAGCCAGCACACAATAATTGCCCACGACATGGAAAAATACCAGAATTGCACTCATCCCTAAAGGTAAACCGGAAGAACATAATTTAGGCCCATCTGTATTCTGGACGTACTAGGTAAGATCCTAGAATACCTAATTAAGGAAAAACTGGAGGAATACATTACAATCTCCGACTTCCAATACGGATTTAGGGAAGGAAAATCTATCGTGGAAGCAGTCGAAGCGATCAGTAGAAAAATGAATCACTATTGTCAAACTATTGTAAACCTAGACATTAAAAATGCATTCAAAACGAACATCTTAGGAAGACTGTGGAAAAATCGGAGAAATAGTATGCAGCTTCGGTAAGGCTGATAACAAACATAAGTGGCCCATCTCAAACTAAGAAGGAAATACTAAGCCAGGTCGCATACTCCATTCTTCTGTATGGAGCACCGATATGGCACAGCAGAACTTACAGTAGAATGATCCAGAGCTCACAGAGAAAAATGTTGATCAAAGTATCCTGTAATGTAATAGCGGGAATTGTACCAATAACATTAATGGTGAAAGAAAGGGTGAGGCTTTACTCAAGAAAAAAAAAGAGGTGAAATGAACGATATAACCAAAAGGGCAAAGAAGGATAACTCAAAAGCCATGTGGCAGGAAGAATGTAAGAACACAGAGGTAACGGCACAATGGACAAAGACGCTGATTCCAAGAATATATCCCTGGCTACAATGCAGACACAAAAGAACGGACTACTACATAACGCACTTTCTAAGTGGGCATGGTTCATTTAGAAGCTACACATATAGGACAGGGAAAGCCAGTGACTCAAATTGTATGTATTGGGGAGAGACACACCAGAATACACGGTCTTCTCATGCGTCAGGTGGAGAAATGACTGGGAAATTATTAGGGAACTAGACCTTTCACCGCAAAATATTATAGGAAAATGATGGAAGACTAGGAAAATTGGAATAATATAGCGAAAAACATTAGGAAAATAATGAAAATAAAAGAGAAGGAAAAAAGTTATTTTAAGAAAATGGGAGGAATATAAGGAAAGGGTGAAATAGAAAAATATCTAAACCCAAAACACGAAGTCCCACTTTGATGAAATGCCGAAAGGCGGTCCCAGGTTGAAACGAGGACACCACAGAGGTGTAACGAAGGCTTGTGTATCGGAGTAGCTCCACGCACTACCAACTGCATAGACCCAGCGGTTGGTGCCAAGCGGTTTCCTTTCAACAAAAAAAAAGTATTTAAACCAGCGATTTCGACGCCGATGGATTGGAAGAGGAGATCTCGTGGCCTGGTAGCGCGTTCTCCTGATATCAGCCTCCTAATTTTTTTAATTTGGGATTATCTAAATTCTTTAGTCTACGAAACGTCTATTCGTAATGAGAAAGATCTTTTTGTCAGGATAATGACTAGTAGAAGCTATTCCAGGAATATGTCATAGGATCCGCAACTCAACGAATTGAGAATGCACTTTACCATTGTAGCAAATGGTCAACATTTCAAATAATAATTGTAATTTAATTGTTTTTAGTCCTTCTGAATATTTTTCAAATTACTTATAATTATTTATCAGAAACAAAATGGACCAAAACCATGTTTCCTTTTCTTTGTCCAAAATGCTCATTTGCGTACTTGGTTACAATGTTCCTTAAAGTTTGTTTGTATGTTTTTGAGACATCCTGTAAAAAACATCATAAGTATTAAATTTATTTATTATAACTTGGAAAAATCATATAATTTTCAACTTTTCCAAATAACATTTTATGTTATCTTATCAAAACTAAATACTAAAGATAAATAAATGATCAAATCAAAATATTTTCCTATTCACCCATACATTTTATAATGATATATTTACCTTCTGTAAACGAATCACCCTATATCTTTACAATCAACCCTTTTACTTCATAATGCTCCATCGGCGTAGTAAATATTACGTTATTAATACAGCAATTATACAATATATATTTACATTTAAATTTCAGTATATAGATATATCTTACGCTAATAAATCAACTATTTGATTAGCTACATAAACTCTCGATCAAAATAATTTTGGTTATTATTAATATTATTACACACTCAATATTCACTAATAATTAACAATTTTTGGCCTTACAGCCAACATAGTTTGTGATCACAGGGATTTTTTCTTTTATACATTAAAATTTTCGAAGTTTGATAGACCAGAGCAGAACATTAAAAATTACATAGTACCGAAAATATTGAACACTTTAAGACAAAAATAAATAAAAAAGAACTATCATGGTATTAGTCCAAAATTATAATAATGGACAGAATTTATTCAATGAGATGGTAAACACATTATGTCCATTACTAGCCTTGCTCTTGAAGATTATTATTGAACCAATATTTGATGATCTAAGTATTTGCAATGGGTAATTGCTTTAAAAAGATAGATAAATTATCAGAAATAAATAAAAACAACCAAAAAAGAAGCCTTAAGGCTCCTATGTACAATCTGTATGATGGACAATTGCCTATTAGGCTATCAACGATCCTATCATGGCGCTATTATCTACATGATCGCCCCAAGTTCATTAACTTTTTGTCCATTGTTCAAGATGGTTGACTTCAGCTACTGCTAGTTATATGATTTGTGCATAGATAAACAATTTTAATAACAACATAATTAAAAAATAAAAGAAGTAAAATAAGATGTAGGAGTCTGGCTGTTCTTCGTAGTCTTTGTGATTTTTAAATTTAGGATTTCAAATCGTAGACTCACCTCGATACAGTTGTATAAGTTAAAATTGTAAATATACCCTCCACATGATGGTACTCGTCTTTAAGCCCCTCTGTGTGCAAAAACTCAAATACTTTAGAAATTACCCTATAACAAAAAGATACCGCTGAAAATGATAAAGCAGGAAATGGAAAAAAGGAAGAGAAAGAAAAACACAAACACATCACAGTAAGGTATTTAAGAAAGAAAACAGATACAGAAAGGTTGCAGAAAAGATAACTTAACAAGAAAACAACGTCAAATATTAAAAAATACAATACGAATGACTTGGTCAAGTTGTTGAAACAAGTGAACTTGGTAGGATAGTAAAACAACAACACATAAATTATGATACACAAGAGATCGAATGCAAGAGGCTCTAAATATAGTAACAAAATGGACAGAGGCGGAAGGACTAAACATTAGCCTTAACAAATCTGACATAATTGCATTCACCCGCAGGAGAAAATTGGAGGGACTAGGGCCTCTAAACCTAAGAGTTGCAAGCATCCAGCTTAAGGGGGAAGTAAAATATCTCGAGGTTAAGATTGACTCGAGACTTACCTGGAACCAACATCTAAAAAAAACCACAAGGAGAGCGGAAACCTCGTTAATGATGGCAAGGCGATCCTTTGAAAGAAAATGGATGTTAAAACCAGACATGGTATATTGGCTTTATAACATGATGGTGAGACCGATATTAACATGCGCAGCTTTGGTGTGGTGGCCAAAGACACAGCAAAGGAAGGCAATAACGAGGCTAAGCAAGGTACAAAGACTTGCCAGCCTCAGAATAACGGGGGCAATTAAAACAAGCCCCACAGATGCAATGGAAGTACTAATAGGACTCCCACCTCTTCACTATGTGATACAAGGGGAGGCAAGATTAGATGCTTACAGATTAGGGACTACACTGGGAAATCTTGACACTAGACCAGGTCACATGAGTATCTCAAGGTTAGTAACAGGAGACATGCTAGACATGAGATCAGACCACATAACCAAGAGGTACTTTTTTAATACTCCATTTAAGGATTTAATACAGGAAAGAGCAAAGATCACCATAAGGGAGCCCAATACCCAACGACAGGAACAAACCTGGTATACAGAGGGGTCTAAGACTGCGGAAGGCACTGGGGTGGGAATATTCTCCAAAAACCCTGATACTAACCATAGCTATGCTATAGGAATACATTCCTCGGTATTTCAAGCCGAGGTATACGCAATTTTCCAATGTGCAAAAACAAACAATAAAAGAGCTGTCGAAAATAAGCATATTCAAAAATAATGTCAGAAAGCCAAGCGGTACTTAAGGCCATATCGAGTCAGAAAAATACGTCAAGGCTGGTATGGGAATGCATCGAAGAACTAAGAATACTGGCAGACCGAAATAGAGTAAAACTATTTTGGGTGTCAGGTCACCAAAGGATCGAAGGCAACGAAAAGGCTGACGAACTTGCAAAAAGAAGGTCAGAAGTAACACCGGAAACAGACACAAACCCAGGAGTACCAAAGAGTACAGTCCGGAGTTTTAGAAATGACTAGATTTGGGAACAACATATTAACTATTGGGGAAGCACCCCAAAACAGGAACATGGAAAAGCCTTCATAGGCAGACCATGTCCCAAAAGAACTGGAGAACTACACTTTATGAATAGAAACCAGTTGAAAGTGATAACAGGGTTCCTTACTGGGCACGCTCCAGTAAAGGGACACTTGAACAAAATTGGCACGTACAATGGGGAACTCATGTGCCGACTATGTCACAAGAAACCAAAAACGGCCAAACACATACTGTGCGAATGCGAAGTAGATAAAGAGAAGGCCGAATAACTTCATCAATGACTTGAGTAGTAAGGTTTTTGTCTCAAAATAAGAACTAAATTTACAAAAGAAGATAAAAATTATTTATATAAGAATAAACATTACAGAGCTATAGCTCAAATGAATAAGACAGTAATACTGGAAGACTCATCTTTATCATCTTCCGGACCTAGCGATGAAGAGGGCCTCCGGTAAAGAAAAAATCTTTGGATCAAACACGTACGTCTATTTGGGATCAAGAACAACTCTCTATTATAGCAATTGCAAAGAGCCTTGGCTACGATGTTTCAATAAATTTCGTAACTTCATCCACCGTTTACCGAGCTCGGGTGGTCAATAGAGGAAAAATGGCAAGGAAAATCGAGGAGACGCTTTTTGAAAATTCTCCTCCTTTGGTCTTGCATTGGGATGGTAAATTGTTGCTCTCAGTTACCCATGGGAATGTTAAAACTTTAGAAGATAGAGTTGTAGTTCTAGTGACTGACAAAGATTTTAAGCATTTGCTTGGAGTACCTGTTGCCCAGAAAGGCACCGTTGAGCAGAAGGCTAAAGAGACAATATCATAGGTATGTCTTTTGATACTACGTAGTCTAACACGGGACTGATCCAAGAGGCATGTTCCAGAATTGAAAGTAAATTTGAACGAACATTGTTGTGGTTGGCTTGCTGTCATTACACTCATGAACGAATATTAAAAGGAGTGTTTGAGGACTGTTGTAACATACCATCAAGTGGTCCTGACATTTAGATCTTTCTACAGTTCCAAAATATGTAGGCTTTACTTAATAAAAAGTCTTATACAACAATGCTGGATCAGGAACGTCCCGTTCGAGGCTTTATAGAAGAACAAAGGGTGAAAATGGTTACCTACTTACAAAATGTCCTAAAGGACGAAAATCATCCAAGAGAAGACTACAAAGAGTTATTATAACTATCACTAGGAGGTCGATTTCAAGATGAATTTAGTTTCAGCATCCCTTTGAGCTCTGCATCAAGCAAAACAGATGGCAAAAACAATTTGTTTTCTTCACTAAACAGTTGAATATGCCTCAACGAGAATTGAAAGGAATGAAAAGGGTTGCACATTTTGTCAGCCTCATATATATGTTCGCTTTTGGCACGAAGCAATTGTAAGTCGATGGGCTCCAAAAAATGATTTGGTAATGCTGCAGCATCTAAATATTTACCCAGATAAAGACGTCAAAAAAAATGCTCTTACTGTTGCTATGAGACACCTATGGTATCTGTCAGAAACAAACGTAGAATAAGTTTATTTGATGAACGTATTAAGAAAGATTGAAAAGGAAAATATGTCTAAACAATTGGACGGTAAAAACTTAGTTTTTGAAGGAAAAGATCTAAGCCATTTCAACACTTGTAAAACAAAAATGTTCTTTGAATTGTTTGGGGTCCATAACAAGACAGAATATTGCAGTGATTATCTAAGAAGTCCAGTGGACGCGCTGAATGATACCGCAGAAAGAGGAATTACTCTAATAAAAAAAAATTAACGAATCGGTCAGAGATGAACAACAAAAACAATTTTTGCTGAGGCATAGAAAAATTGTCACCAAACGTTCAATGTTGAATAATATAAGACATGTTTTTCCTATCTATTACCTTATAATCTTAAAAATATTACCCAATAATCTTAATGTGTAGTTTTAAGTTTGAGATTTATAGTTTTAACAATAAAAGTATATAACATTGAAAAGTCGTATTTTTTGCATATTTCTACAAAACTGGTTAAAGTATGCAACCTCTAAATATTGTCCAATCTTCTTAAAATTTTGCATCCAATCCATCATTAAGACAAAACTTCAGTATCGAAAAATTTCTGCAAGATGGGTTGCAGGTTGCAAGGCTCTTGAATGAACATCAACGAACTGTTCGTGGTAAAATTTTTCAAAGGCTGTGCTGTGATGAAACTTGAGTGTACCACTATACACTTGAGTCCAAAAGGTCAAGTAAGGAGTAAAGACAAAAACGCCAAGCTGGCCCAGTAAAAGCAAAAACTCGTTAGTCTGCAGGTAAAGTTTTAGCAACAGGTTTTGGGATTGTAGAAGTGTTTTGTTGGTCAATTTTCTTTACGATAGATAAACCGTTATTGCAGCAATAAGCTTTTGGAGCGTGTTTGAGCAGCTTACTAATCCAAAAGGCGGGAATGTCCGGTACGACAAGTGCTGCTCTTGCATGACAACGCTCGACCGCATACAGCTGTACAAACTTAAGAAAAACTAGCTAAAATGCATTGAACTGTTGTTGAACACCCTTCCTATAGTCCAGACCTTTCACCATGTGACTACTACATGTTTGGTCCACTCAAAGACGCACTTGGGGGAGAAAGTTTTAACGGTGATCAAGTGAAACAATTTGTGTCCAACTGGTCGAGTACGCGACCTCGTTCTTTTTTTGAAAAGGGTATAAAAATGTATTCAGAAAGAAGAAAAATATATAGAACAATAAGACATTATTTATTTATTTTTATTATAATTCAATAAAAAGTTATTAACAAAGGTCGGTTTATATTTGAACTACCCTCGTATAAAGTATTATTTATTTATTAACTTTACCGTTTTGTCTAATTAACTGGCAATTAAAAGTTCTTGCTTTCATAGTACGTCTCATTCTTTTTGATCTACCAAACTTTTCGCAGTTTTTAATGTAAAATTTGTTTACACTTTTAAGCACTAAATGCCAAAAAAACAAATAGCTAACTCAACAAAAAGAAAAACATCATTATATAAAAAACGTTAAAAACTAAATACCAAAGACTAGTTTTTAGGACAATGTTAATTATTTTAGGATTAGTAGATAGTTTATAGAACCATTTAATGTTTATTCAATTTACAAAATACAGTCAGTGCTTAAAGTTTCAAAATTATTTTTTGCTTGCATATCGTTCCCCAAATATCTGTACAAGTCTATATTTTAAAAATTTTAACTAAAATGTTGAATGGTCTTCAAATTTTTTAAAGATTTTTCGTTATTTTGTGTTAACTTCAGGGACAGAATTGTTAAATACCTAAACTGTATACTTTTAAAATACTTATATACCCATCATCATGCCTTATTTATTTCTCAAGTACCAGTGAAATCGACACAATAATCTTTTTTTACGGTAATTTAAAAATTCGATCCCAAAAGCTCAAAATTTTTCTATAAAACAACGAATACAAAACATATATTTACAAAGATTTAAATGCAATGTGCTTTTCAGCTTATTACATTTTATATAAATTAAAAAAACGATATGCAAGCCGTTATACTAAAACATATTCTATGTATACATTTATTTTTTTCTTCCTTAAATCTATGATAGAAATTATATGTATATTAAAATTATTTGCCTTCAAAAAGATGACGACTAGCAATATGATTGTTTTTAACATTGAAGGATGTAGATAACTAGATATGTACACTTTTTTGCGAATTTTTAGTACGGAGTCATATTTTATTCATACCTACATGTACCTTTTGTAGCGCCATATTTGAAGCAATGCAGAGTTTATCTATAACTTATTATAATTTAAATTTAGTACAGGATAAAAAATAGCTCCAGTCTGTGGTAAATATAATTTTTACACTACTTTGTACAAAGCTCAAATGAATACTGCTACTTTTGTAGCTATACAAAGCTCATCTCCTTTGAAAAACTTATTATTTAAATTCTGTAAAGAATATAAAAATCTAAATATTATATAATATGGATATAATTACAAAATAATTTTTGTAATACCAGGTGTCCCATTATATTTTACAACATTTAGCAAGCTTATAACTTTTAAACGAAAGTACTTAAAAACATGCGGTTTTCACCGAAATATATCAAATTATTCCAAGTTTTATTTAGGTCAATCCAAAATTATTTAGCTCTTCCGGTTTACTGAAAAACAAAAGACATATTTGTTAATTTTTTTAATTAAACACCCTGTATATTTTTTGATGCTCCGAAAGCCAGTCCTTTTAGCTATCTAGCGATATAAAGTTTTTTAAAATCGATGAAGAAATGACTGAACAATTAAATTTTCTGAAAAGCTTGCAAAATCAACAATTCTCATCAATAATTTTTGTGATTATTTAACATTTTAACAAACTTTTATCAAGCAATTTAAGAATAATTTATATGTTCCATATGAGGAGCGTCGAATCAAACTGTATTTTGTCCATCATTGGACAAAAATAAGTTTGATACAGCTTTCCGTTAAAAAATTAGCGCTCTTTCGATCTCTGAAGATTGTATGGATCAAAAGTGGTTATAGCCCATGCAAAATATATTATAATAATGGATTTATGGATCAAACTATATCTATCGAAATAAGTACAAAGAGTATAAGTCAGATTTTATTGATTCCGGGTTTCTTTTACTATAGTTCGTGTTTATCATCTACATATATGCCCCAAGAGTACAAGTCAATGCTGAGTATTTTTTACTAACGGTTTAGCATTGAACCTTTCAGTATAAGTCAAGTTCCATATTACCTTGTTTGTATAAGGAGTATAAGTCAAATTATACTGTTAGGACCCATGTTTCTCACTGTTGGTTAGATAGCAGACCGCTGACTTGTACTATTGAGACTTTTTTTTATGTTGGCTTTTATTATTATCAGTCTTGTCTTGTCACCCTTAGGTATGTGAGCTCTACTTATTTAGTTTGATTTTTTTCTCACCTAAAGTTTAAGTAGGTAATAGTGTTTTCACCATGCCTCTAAATCAATTTATGAGCATAAGTTTAAAACATTCAACATTTCATTTAAAGGGCCAAAATCAGATACTTGTCACAAGTGTGATATACTTTTACTTTATATGAAAGAAAGTAGCAAAGTCAGAAGATAAGTTAAAGTCTATACAAGATGAGAAAACTAAACATCAAGATGAGGCAGATTTGGTATATACTAAAAAGCGAGAAGACAAATAACGTGCTTAGGAGGACAATACCATTAAGTGTTACGCATTTGACTTCCAACAGTGTCTGCAAACACCCTACTTAAATACGTCGGTGGCATTCTATAAACGCCAACTGTGGACGTTTAACCTAACTTTCCATGAAACGACAACAAGGGATGTAACTTGCTTCATGTGGCATGAGGCCGAAGGTAGAAGAGGAGCCAACCAAATCACCACATGTATTTTTAAACAACTGTCAAGTTTGCAACAACAAATCAAAAAAGTCACTTTATATTGAGGTTCATGTATTTACTCACAGCACACCAAACATTCACTTTAGGAGAGTCTCTTACACTTTCATAAAATTCATGTGGTATCTCTTCACTCCAAATTCTACAATTGTGTCCATTGAGGGCTCCATTAACATGGAAACTTGCTTCATCAGACATTATTAAAAGGAGCTCAGGATTATTTCTTTTCAAGTCCAATAACGTCTCACACATATAGACGTTTTTATTTTTTGGTGTAATTGAATTTCAGTTTCAGTGCTTGTAAGATTCAATGAACTTTGGATCTACTTATATTAAAATGTGACGCTATTTTTCTGATAGATGACTTGGGAGATCTAGTAACAAACTCGTATACACCAATGGTATCATGTAAATGATTATCATTGCCGATATTTCGTTTTTTTTTTTGGGCTAGTGATCCATTATTTTTGAAAATGTTAAACCACTTCATTATTGTCTTGTATGTCGGTGCTGTTTTATTAAATTCTCTAAAAAATCTTCGTCTTGTTTGCATAATAGATTTTGATTCAGCAAAATGAATTATGATACTTGCTTTTTCTGTTTCAGAAAATAACATTTTAATGTAAAAAGAATCACTTGAAACCTTAGTCTAAGCTTTTGGAACAACTAAAACAACAATTTTGACATTTCTTACAAACGTATCAAAGCCTACTATAAAATGTATGTGTGCATGGTGAGAGAGAGAGGCAAAGGGTGTTTAGAAAAAATATTAAAAAAATTATTCGTTTTTATTAAACCGTCGAAAAAGGACAAACAAATTTTCAAAACGTCATAAAAAGTGACAGTTAACAGGTGACAAATTTAACACAAATTCAGGCCATCTTGGATAACTAGGGCATCTACCACTAACACAATTACCCTTCCTAAGTGCACCCAGTTCTCCCAAAAGGGACCGATAGGTCAAAAAACACGATTTTAGGTGGTTTTTCACGGTTGCCATGGAAACCGCCTAACAGATTTTGACACCGATTTTTTCTAAAAAGCGTCCCGTACGTTTAGACCTTTTGTCCAAGTTTTATTAAAATCGGTCCATCCGTTCGGACGGTACAATTTTTTAGAGTCGCCCGAGAACCCTATTTTAAATTTTTTCTCAGTAAAAAGAAATATTTCTATCGAAGTTATTGTTATTTTGCAGGCTTTTTCAGAAAATTTAATTCTTCAGTAATTTCTTCATCGATTTCAAAAACTTTTTATCGCCAGATAGCTAAAAGGACTGGCTTTTGGAGCACTAAAAATATACGGGGTGTTCCATTAAAAAAATTAACAAATATATCTTTAAAAATCCACCGTTTTGTTTTTCAGTAAAGCGGAAGTTCTAAATAATTTTGGATTGACCGAAATTAAACTTGGAACAATTTGCTACATTTCGGTGAAAACCGCATGTTTTCAAGTACTTTCGTTTAAAAGTTATAAGCTTGTTAAATGTTAGAAAATATAATGGGACACCTGGTATTTTGTAGCGTTACGAAGCTCAATTTCTCGTATATTTTTTCTTTTGATCCGGAACATAAAATTTAACCTGTATTGTAGCTGAAACAAACTAATTTGCATAGAAAATTTGTAGCGCTACTGAGTTATGTTTCTAGGCTACTTTGCATTATTTAACTTTTTGTTGATTTTGTCAAAACAAATAAGTGATAATGGGCATATGGACTAATAAATTACCTGCTTTATATATTATCAAGCTCTGTAGGTAATAAAAACAGCTTCAATATATGACATGGATATAGCTACAAGGCTCAAGTATTTAGCTTTCTTTTTAAAACGATACAGATCTTATATCCTTTAAAGAACTAATAAATGCGGCATGGATATAACTGCAAAATAATATTTGTACTATATAGTAGCGTTACAAAGATTATTCTGTACGTGCATTTTATTTCTTTATTTTGATCCAAAACATAAAAGTTAAGCTATTTTGTAGCTGGTACAAACGAATTTGCATAGATAATATGTAGCGCTACTGAACCTTTACCTTATTCGAGCTAATTTTAGTGGTTACTTTGTAGCACCACAGAACTTTTTGTTTTCTCAAAACAAATAAGTAATAATGATCCTATGAACTAATAAGTGACCAGGTTTAGTAATGCTGCCTTATATATTTCATGGAGCTTATTTGAAGTTAATATAATGAATGCATTAAGTATGAATCCATGATGAGGTAAGTACATGATTGATTTTTGAATAAAATATGACTACGTACGTTTGACATAAGGAAAAATATTACAATGATCAATTTAGTGCCATATGAAACTACACTGACGTAAAGGGAAACATAGTCAAACAGAAAATGTACAAAGGGAATGTTGAAAGCAGCGTATATAATCAAAAGTTTTACTCACATATTCAGTGTCTTTGGCTTTTTTCATTTACAGGGTGTCCCACGAGCAATGATCACTTCAAAACATTAACACTATATTAGAAAATTGGAGATTTATTTGTTTATTTGAAACGCTGTATTTTTTTTTCTTTTTTTTTTATTAATTTTTTAATATTTTTAATTTTTTTTATCGGGAATGTCAACAAAAAAGCTACGCTGATAAATATTGAATGAACCAAAGTGATTTTCCCAGAAAGTGTGACAAAATAAAGACAAGATTAAATAGTTAATGGATTGCTGCACGAAAGAGGATAGAATGGCAAACATTATCTAAGAACGACCTGTCCAAATGACTACCAGTGGGATCTAACAGTTTAGATATGGCAACCCTGTGAACATGTTGTCATTGACTGGGTCAATTATAGATATATAGTTATATAGATTCCTTAAGCGGCCATAATGCCTAGCAAAAATGTGTTTTAAAACCAATTTTCAACCATTGAATATTTAAAAAAATTATTTTCACTTCAAGGCATAAGCCTATGTTTATTTATAAAACCATAAGTGATCAATCTATATAACTACCTATATCATCGACCCTATCCAAAGCACCACGCATACAGTGTTGCCATATTATAACGTATCATGTGTCTGTCAGTGGCCTGTCATTTCAAACGGGCAGCCGAGAATGGGAAGGTAAAAAGGAAGTGTCAAATTAATCATTGCAGTCAGTAATGAAAGAATAAATGATGGGGATAAGAAGAAAAATAAGACATTAAGAAGAAAAAGAAAAAGATAATAAGAAGAAAAAAAAACAAGAAAAATAAAATAAAAAGATAAAGTAGATGAAGGTAAAAGGAGAAGAGGAGGAAGGAGGAAAAGAAGAAGAAGAAGCAGTGGATATGCTTTGTAAATTAAACTAATTAATTGTAATTTATCGGTTATTATAATACCCTAGAGATCATTAATTGTCCCAAAATAATTTTGAACCGTCACACAGCTTCGCATCGAATCTCCAATTTTCCATGTAGGTACAATTTTCTAAAAACAAAAAAAGTCATGATTCTCCGCACAAGTTGATGGTTGGGACGTCCTGTATTTGTCGTCAACGATTATATGATCGTCACTGAGTGAAAATGGCAGAATAATTATCTTGAAGACATGTACAATAGAACGTAGCAAAGAGCCGACAGCGAAGCGTTCAGGAAAAACGATCCTTGACTCGAAGCGGCTGAAACAAAGAAAAATCGCATTTTAATGACATCGAAAAGTTTTATTTTCGAAGACAAAAATACACAAAAATAAGGATGGAGGAGTATTAGTGAATCTTGGGGACGGAAGCCGTCTTTCCATATATTATCGATATAATTATTTTTCTTGCAAAATAACTAAGTCGATGTTTGGATTATATCGATTGCAGGAACGTAGATATGTGTTTTCATTTATTTTCTAATGTAATAAATACGAGTACATTGTGATTTTAATTGTTTATAGGAAATATTTTGAATCGCATCATTTGTGTTCCTGTGACCAGTTTAGGTAATTAAATAAATTGATTCAGAACATATTTTTATCATAGATCACTTTAGGCAGATCGTCACATAAAGTCGAAACATAGTAAGTAGGTGAATATACACAGCCCAAGTAGCAAAAATAATTTAATAAAGTTGTACGAACTGCTCTAAGAGAATAGCACCTTTTAGAGCAGTTTCTGAGGCCTAAATAATAAATGACGATATAACCCAACTTACCTCAGTCCAAAAGTGGATGATTTCGGAAATAAAAGTTTAATTTGGTTTTAGTTTTTCATAAATAATATTTCGTGGGCTTACAAGCAAAAGGCACTAGGTCCAAAATGTGTCAAAACGAGTTTATATATTTGTACATCATGTAAAAACAGTGCGTTGTATTCTGAAAGCATCTACATTTTCTTTGAAGCAGTTGATAATCCCTAAATAATTTATAAAAATTTAGAACTTCTTTGAAACTTTAAATTGCTTATAACTCATAAACTATTTTTTGACTTAATGCCTTTTGCTTGTTAGCTCACGATTTTTAGTAATTGGTGTATTTTTACATAATTTGGCTAGGAGGGTTCTATGGGGTAAAAATTAAAAGCTACTTACAATAATTTTGACCTGACCATATACGAAGTGAATTTTTTAAAATAGAGATATCTCAAAAACAACTGCTCAAATCAGCTCTTAGACCGGTGTGAACTTAGCGACCAATTTTTAGCGAATAATGCATTCTTACTATTTTTTAGGTAACCACTTTTAGAAAAATTGTGCCAGTGGAGTAATAAACAAGGGCATTCGGTGTTCAAAAAGGAAGGAAGGAGTTAACCACTGACGAGGTAAAGAAGTATTTGGGATTAGTTACCCAGATAGCACACGACGTCCATTGGACGTCCATATTTTGTCCAAATAATGTCCTGGATGTCCATGAACTTCATATGGATATTCATTGGACATCCGCTTTCCGTTATCCAATGTACATACCCATTCAGAAGTCCAATGGATGTTCAAAATATGTCCATGATGGACAATATAAAAATGATTAACTTATAATAAATTATTATAATTCTTCTTGTATAATTTAATTATTTACTACTAGGTTTTAATTAAAATAAATTAAATAATTTTCCTCTCCACTCGCCTTTGTTTACAAGATAGAAAAGTAAAAGGCCACTCAAGCCAAACTCGAAGAAGAAAAGAAGAAAGAGGTTAAGAAGAAAACACAGCACATGAATGTTTATCTGGTAAGAAAATAAGTATAATTATTAATTAAATCATTTAAAAATCTAACAATTAAAAAGCAAATCGTTTGTTTTAAACTAATAAAACCTATCAATTATGTTTTAAACTTTATGTTTTCGATTTACATTCAAAGAATCCCTTTCTTTTAACCTTTTGTCAAATGATGTTCCTACCTCACATACTTATGTGACCTACCTATTTAAGAAAATGGCTTTACTAAAAGCTAACTAATATGCTGCAAATTCGAGATGATGTCAACACAATTATTATTGTAACTAAGAGGTAAGAAAACTTTCAAAGCAGAAAAAAAGTTTCTATTTGTGCTGCATGAGACAGCAGAAGTAGAAGGCTATTTAGAAGATACAAATATATTTAAAGAAGCTGTTTTACTTTTATTAAATAAAATAGAATCGTTTTGTAACATTTAAGAAATAATGCATTGAAAAATGTTTCATAAATTATTTCTCTTTCATGTTTACAAATACATATTTTTATTGCAATTTTAGATTCAGCAGTTACCAAAACCAGGGACAAGGACATGACGAACTTATAAAAAGATGGTTCGTTTCCATAATTTCTAATACCCTCACGAAAGAATTCACATAATATGATGGCATGAAAGTAAAATGGTAATTTAAAGAAACAATGAGCAGTTTTTTGTTTATATGTAAGTATAGGGGTAAAGTACTTTAGTCAATGCATATTTTCATATTTTATCTAAAAATTTCACATTTTTAACTATCACTTTTGCCTGATCAGGCATTTATTAAACGATTGATTTAATCAATATTCGTATAAAATGTAATGTCTTTTTTAGCTGCTGCTGAGAGTGACAATGGTGCTGCTTAAAAAGTAAGCGAAATAGCCTTAAGAAAATGGCTGAGAAGGTCAACAGAAAGGAGTGCGTATAAAACTAATACATGCTTAATATTATTTATGACAATAAAAATAAGTCTATAGTTGCAATTATTTTATTTCATATTAATATAGGTGGTGATGTCCGTCAGATGTCCATAAATTGTCCAAAAGCAATACAAAAAGAGTCCATATATGGACCTTTCATGGAGTCCAAATGGACGTCCAGGAGTGGGACATTTGTATAGTCCAGTGGATGTCCATTGGATGTCCTTCGGTAAAATGCTGGACGTCCTTTGGACAGCCGATATTTCCATGAATGGACTTCTGATGGACATCCAATGGATTGATTTGTGCTGTCTGGGTATTCTCATGGGCGTTTACAAGTCTAAAAATGAGGACGTCAGTACCATGTTCAACACTCAGCATGGACGGCCTATTTTCAGTCGAATAATGAGCCGAAATCGATTCAAGACGATAACCAAGGTACTAAGATTTGATGACGCAGAGGAGAGGCGAAAGCATCGTTCCCCTGACAAACTTGAGCCTATTAGAGATTTATTCGAAAGTTGGAACACCTACCTAAGAGATGCTTATGTTCCTGGTTGGTGCATGACTGTAGATGAACAACTTGTAACATTTAGGGGCCGCTGCAATTTTCGGCAATACATTCCGTCTAAACCTGGAAAATACGGCATCAAATTTTGGGATGATATGTGATGTTCAGACTGGCTACGTATGGAAAACTGAAATTTATAAAGGGAAAGAAGAAGGAGAATCCCGTGAAGTAAAGCAGGGAGAACGTGTCGTGAAAGGGTTGGTTTCTGAATTGAGGAACAGCGGTAGGAACATAACTTGTGACAATTTTTTTACAAATGTGCCTCTAGCTCAGGATCTTCTACAGATGAACTTGACAATGGTAGGCACTATCAGAAAGAATAAAGCTAAACTACCTCTAGAATGTGTAGTTGCCAAAAGGCGTGAAGTGGTGTCAACACTGTTCGGGTTCCAGGAGAACGCTATGCTTGTTTCTTACTGCTCTAAGAAAAACAAGGTTGTGACACTTCTCAGCACTTTACAAGACCAAAACGTCATTGATGAAATAAATAAAAGGAAACCTGAGGTCATAATAACCTATAATGAAACAAAGGCAGGCGTGGACAAGGCCGATCAAATGCTACGTAACTATTCTGTCAAAAGAAAAACCCGTCGGTGGCCAATGGTTGTGTTTTCCAACATGGTAGATATCAGTGCTCTTAACGCCTTTATAGTGTACTTGTTCAATCATTCTAATGATCTAGGTACGAGAAGTGGTAAAAGAAGACGATTTCTGATCCAATTGGGAAAGCAACTCGGAGGAATTGTATACGATGATGCGAATTAAACGGCAGCGCCAACGGCAGGACCCCCTCAGATTTCGCAGAGGAAGAGGTGTCACATATGTCCGTCAAAAAAAGACAAAAAAATAAAAAGCGTTTGTTCACAGTGCAAAAAAAACGTGTGCTCAGAACAAAGCCATATTATGTGTCTTCAGTGCCAATACTAAATTAGTAAATGGAACTGTCTGTTTTTAATTGATATTTTTATTTCACTAATTTACATGTCACAATAATTATTTAATGTTTAAAACTCAAAATAAATAATTTAATATAATAATAGTTTTAATTAACCTATATCAAAAATATTAACAGCCATTTAATTAGAAAAAACTGGATCCGGGCCGAAAAGGCCCGAGCCGTCGTTAATGTATACTGGATGCTACCGTCAGCAGGGTGTTAACAACTATATTTCTTTTATTTTTGTATTCATTCCACAATACATTTTTATCTGGACCTAAGGTTCTTTGAAACTTTTTGTACACTTTATCCCTCTATCTGGCTTGTACATTTACCTCCTTATCATACCATGGAACATGATTATTCTTTATCTTATAATCGAATGATCTGTTATTTTAGGAAAATGATGAACACTGGTAAGTATAATCATTTACATGTTGTTTAATGCCATAAGACTGAATTAAACTTTTTATCTTTATGATATTAAAAACTATCTACAAAATAATCAATATTAACATCACCCACAATTAAAGCTTCAATGTTTCTCGATAAGAAATCTTCGCACCATTCTTTAATTTTATCTATAAAGACCGCATCGTTGGAACTGGGCGAATGGTAAAAACCACCAATCAACCATTTAGTTTTATTAAAATTAACGTTAACAATTTTACACCAATAATTTGGCACAAGAATATCTTCCTTTTTCACATTAAAAGTAATGTTGTTCCGCAGATAAATACAGTAGAACTCCAATTATCCGAACTCCGACTATCCGAATCGCCGATTATCCGAATCATAAATGCGCGTCAAGTCTTGACGGAGATGTTTAAAAAACAATGATTTTTATTTCTAAACTTGTACATAAGTACATTTTATTTATATTTAAAACATGTGAAAATTTCATGTTTCTTTCATTTAATTCAATAAAAAAATAGTGCAATATCAAAACGTAGCTTTTATTCTCTCCAATGGCAATTTTTTTAAAAAAAATCCGATTATCCGAATATTTGATTATCCGAATGGGTCCCGGTCCCCATTAATTCGGATAATTGGAGTTCTAC